GACGGGCGCGGGGTTGGGGGGGGGGGGGGGATTGTGGGGGGGAGGGGGTGCTTTTAATGTAAAAGAGGAAATGCTTGAACCGGCGGGACGAGGCAAAGGGGACCCAGAACAAGCAGCTGCCCCCCAACCCCAGCCCCGACCCCAGCTGCGACCCCACGGGCCGGGGAAGGGGCGGCCCCTTCCCCTCACCTGCTCCTGGGGGCCGGACTCGGCCCCTCGGATCCTCCCTGAGATCGAGCAGCGACACTCGAGGGGACAGGGGACACCCAGGGGCACAGGCGGGTCCCCTCCGGCCACCGCCGGGCACGGCGGGATCCCGGTACCGGGGCCGGAGCATCCGAACCTGGCACGGGGCTGAGGCGGGCGGGGATGGACCCGCTTCGAGCGGGCTGGGGGCTCCGGGGGGCTCCGGGTGAGGGCGGGGGGCTCAGTCTTTCCGTAGCTACTGAAGACTTGGAGGTATTTCGGGAGCCGGGCGCTCCCGGCGTGTTTCCATGCAGCATCCAAAGGTGGGGAAGGGGGCAAGGCTCAGATCTTGCTGTTCTCCAGGTGCGAGTCGATGTGTTTGACCAGGGCATCGTCCGGGTACCCGATGGGGAAGGCCAGCTGGCACAGCGGGCAGCTCCGCACCTCCGAGTCCACCGTCTCCAGCAGCAGCTGCGGGGGGCACAGGGCGACGCTGAGACCACCCCCCAGGACCCCCCCACCGCCCCCAGCCAGCCGGGAGGCCGGCTGACAAACGGGGAAACTGAGGCACGCCAGCTCTCTGCGGGGCGCTACCCCTCCGTGGGGGGGCTTCCTCGGTGCTCCCCACGGCCAAACCCACCCCAAAACCCCTCGGGGACACCCGGGGGGGGGTCCTTCTTACGTTGATGGAAGGCCAGGACTGGGCGTGCTCGGCGCGGGCGTAGGCGGCCGCCGTCCGGTGCGCGGCGTCGGGGTCGGGCACGGGGAAGCCGGCGCAGAAGGAGGCGCAGCGGATGGCCCCGGCCTCGGGGCTGGGCGGGCTGGGCAGCGCCCACTCCTCCTCGTCCGACGACTGCTTCTCGAAGCGGACGTGCTCCTCGAAGGGCTCGTGGGCGCTCAGCGGGGCCCCCGCGCCCCCCAGGTAGACCTCGCCGTAGGGCCGGTGCTTGGGCAGCGTGGAGGCCTCGGGCTGCAGCCAGAGCGAGCGGCTCTGCTGGTACAGGGCCACGTTGGTCACCTCCGAGTAGCTGCGGCGGCCCTGGAAGCCGGCCTTGATGTGGCGGCTGGAGGGCTTGGCGTAGGGCAGCTCCATCCTCCCGCCGGGCAGGCGGTGCGGGGACGCCGAGCCGGGCGGCGGGCAGGGCGGCGGGGCGGGCGAGCGGCGCTGCTGGGCCGGCGACTGGCTCGGGGGCGGCACCGGGGAGCGGCGCTGCTGCCCGGGGGACTGGCAAGGGCCGGGGGCCGGCGAGCGGCGCTGCTGGGCCGGAGATTGGCTGGGGGGTCCCGGCGAGCGGCGTTGGAGGGCGGGAGATTGGCACTGGGAGCGGCCCGGAGGGACGGGCGAGGGGCACTGCGGGGCGGGCGAGCGGCGCTGCTGGGCCGGGGAGTGGCACTGGGACAGCGGGGAGTGGCGCTGGCCTGGCACGGGACAAAGGGGGACACACAAGGGGGAAAGGCTCGGCGTTAGCGCGGCGGCTTGGAGGGTGTGGAAGGGGTGGGAAATGTGGGAAATGTGGGAAATGTGGGAAATGTGGGAAATGTGCCTCGGCATCCAGGAGCATCCCAGGGAGGGGGTGTGTCTGTGGGGACCCCCAGAGGGATGGGAGATTCTGGGGGGGGGATGCAGCCAGGCAGGGATGGTCCCAGGGATGGATATTTTGGGATGGATACTCCCAGGGATGGATATTTTGAGATGGTGTGGTCCCAGGGATGGATATTTTGGGACGGGGTACTCCCAGAGATGGATGCTCCCGATGATGGATGTTTTTGGGATGGGATTCTCCCCGGTATGAATATTTTGAGATGGATACTCCCAGGTATGGACGGTCCCAGGGATGGATATTTTGGGATGGGCACTCCCAGGGATGGATATTTTGGGGTGGGCACTCCCTGGTATGGATACACCCCACTGGGGAAGCCCTTGCTGTGGGACATTCCCAGGGATGGATATTTTGGGATGGGCACTCCCAGGGATCCATATTTTGGGATGAGCACTCCCAGGTATGGATATTTTGGGATGGGCACTCCCAGGGATGGATACACCCCCCTGGGGACGCCCTTGCTGTAGGACACTCCCAGGGCCGGGCGCCCTTGGGGTCCCATTCCCCCCGGAGCTCACTCCCACGTGCAGGACGAGCCCCCCGCCCATTCCCGGTGTCTGTGCCCCCCGTTCCCGGTGTCAGTGCCCCCCGCCCCTGCCCGGGGTGCCCCTTACCCCCGTTGGGGCTCTTGTCCTGCAGCAGCGCCCGCAGGATCTGGCTCTGCAGCGAGCTGAGGTTGCGCAGGCGGCACAGCTCCTCCGTCAGCTCCGTGTAGGCCAGGGCCAGGTTCACCCTGCGGCAAAGGGAGCCCTGGGGTTCACGGGGAGGGGCCCTTCGGCAGGGGTTAAACCCCTGAAATCCCTCAGGAGGGCTCAAACCCTTCAGCGGGGGTGAAATCCTCCAGCAGGGGTGGAAGCCTTCAGCAGGGCTTGACCTCCCCCCCTGGAATTTCGGTTGGTTTGGTTTTTCGTTTGGTTTTGGTTTGGTTTTTTAATAAATACAACTCAAAAAAGGTTTAGTGCTGCTGCCTGGATGGTGCTTCCAGCATTTCCCCAGGAAAATCCTGAGGAAATCATGGCCCAGGGTGAGAAAAAACACCTCAGGGTGTCGGAAGTTCCCTCTCTCCACCCCTGCCGCACCTCGCGATCCACAGGACAATTCCCAAAGGGGACACGGTGGCCCTGAAGGTGACACAGCCCCGCTGTCCCCCCAGAACCAACTCAAAACCAACCCAAATCCGGTTTTTTTTCGCTCCAGAGGGAGCAGCTCCGGGAGCAGCCGGGACGGGGCGGGCGCGGCTCCCCCCGCCCCCGGCGGCGCTGCCAAAATCATCAACTCTGCCCCAAGCTGGTGTCGCTTTCCCAGCCGGGATGCTCGGCGGGGACGCGAAGGGAGAAAGGGCCCGCGGGGCCGGGGCTCGGCGCCGTCCCGCTGAGCCGTTGTGACACCGCGGGGACCGGAGCCGCCGCCCGTAACCGGGGCTGACAGCGCCGGGCCGGGCCCCCGGGCACGGCGGAGACAGAGGTGGGAAAGGACGAGGAGAAGGCGAAAGTGAGGAGGAGGATGAGGGAAAGGAGGGGAAAGAGTGAGGGGGAAAGGAGGGGAAGAATGGAGAGGGGGAAAAAAAAACAACACGAGAAGAAAATGGGTGAAGAAGAAAAGGAGGGGAAAGTATGAAAAGGAGGAAAAGAAGGAAAAGAGAGGAGGATGAAAAGGAAAAGAAGGAAAATGAGGAAAAGAAGGAAAAGGAGGAAAAGAAGGAAAAGAGAGGAGGAGGATGAGGGAAAGGAGGGGAAGAATGGAGAAGGGAAAAAAAACAACACGAGAAGAAAATAGGTGAAGAAGAAAAGGAGGGGAAAGTATGAAAAGGAGGGGAAAGTATGAAAAGGAGGAAAAGAAGGAAAAGAGAGGAGAATGAAAAGGAAAAGAAGGAAAAGGAGGAAAAGAAGGAAAAGAGAGGAGGAGGAAAAGGAAAAGAAGGAAAAGAAGAAAAAGGAGGAAAAGGACGAAAAGAAAAAACCGTGGAGGGCACACAGAGGATGTCACCTTTGTGCCCCCCAGGTCCCTTTTTGCTGCAGAGCTGGAGGAGCCGGGGGTGGGGACAAGCCCGGCATTGGCACCCATGGGTGCACGAGTCATTAAAACCCACACAATCCCCCCAAAAACGCGGGGCGGGGAAGTGGGAGGGGTGGTCTGACCCCCCAAATCCCCACCCTGCTCTTTCAGGGCTTTTCTCAAGATCTGGCTCCTGGTTTGTCCCGGGAGGGAGGGCAAGAGGGAACAACCGCGAGCTCAGAAACCAAAGAAAAGTCTAAACCTCAGAAAATGAACCAAAAAAAAAGGAGGAAGATGGGGACGCGGGGGGACCCCCGCCCCAAGCACAGCGCGGCAGAAGCACCAGAAAATCACCCGGAGATGGAAAACGCCGATAAGGCGCTTTTCACACCCAAAAAAACAGTGGCGGAGAGAAGCAGGTGACAAAAAAGAGCTGAATCGACAAGAAAAGAGCGCGGAGGGAAAAGCTGCGCCCGGGGAGGGGGTGAGGAGCCAGCCCTGCCTCAGTTTCCCCATCCCAGCGTGGTGAATTTGGGCTCAAAAAAAAAAAAAAAGATTTTGGCGACTGGGATATAATAATAATAATAATGGAGATATTTGGGAGTTTTAATTTCCGTGGATGTTGCGGGAAGGGGCTGAGAGGGGTGGGGGTGAGCTCGGGTGAGGGAATTAATGGAAACTGAGGGAATTAATGGAAATGGAGGGAATTAATGGAAACGGAGGGAATTAATGGAAACGGAGGGAATTGAGGGGGGGAAGGGAGCGGCGGGAGCCCCCCCGGGAAGGATCCAGCCCCCCCCGGCTCCCCTCGCTCTGATCTGCGCCAGGACGACAGAAACGGCGACAGCATCCAACAGCTCCGGAGCAGCGGGGGACGGCTCAGCCCCCAAAAGCACAGCCAGCACCTTCCCGGGCCCGCGTGTCGCCTCCCATCTGTCACAGCTCGGGCCCGCTGCCACCGCCCGCGGGGGGACAGCGGCGGAACGGGGCCGAGCGACAGCGGGGACAGCCGGAGACCTCGGCGCTTTGGGGGTGTCCGGGGACACCGCCACCGCCTCGGTGCCGCCGTGAGCCCTTGGGGGGTTTGGGGGGGTCGGGGGACACCGTCACTGCCTCGGTGCCGCTCGGTGCCGCTCTCCCGGCAGCCGAGAGCCGTCAGTGCCCTCTGGAGGCAGCGCCGAGCCCGCACCGGAACCGGGACACGGCACGGCACCGGACACCGGGACAAGGCACAGCACCGGCACCGGGCACCGGGGCACGGCACGGCACCGGCACCGGGCACCGGGACAATGAACGGCTCCGGAACCGGGCACCGGGACAATGAACGGCACCGGCACCGAGCACCGGGACGATGAACGGCTCCGGTGCCGCCGTGAGCCCTTGGGGGGTTTGGGGGTGTCGGGGGACACCGCCACCGCCTCGGTGCCGCCGTGAGCCCTTGGGGGGTTCGGGGGTGTCCGGGGACACCGCCACCGCCTCGGTGCCGCTCGGTGCCGCTCGGTGCCGCTCTCCCGGCAGCCGAGAGCCGTCAGTGCCCTCTGGAGGCACCGGGCACCGGGCACCGGGCACGGGACACGGCACGGCACCGGACACCGGGACAAGGCACGGACACCAGGAACCAGGCACCGGGACAATGAACGGCACACGAACCGGGCACCGGGACAATGAACGGCACCGGCACCGAGCACCGGGACGATGAACGGCTCCGGAACCGGGCACCGGGACGATGAACGGCACCCGAACCGGGCACCGGGACAATGAACGGCACCCGAACCGGGCACCGGGACAATGAACGGCACCGGAACAGGGCACCGGGACGATAAACGGCACCCGAACCGGGCACCGGGGCAACGAACGGCACCGGAACCGGGCACCGGGACACGGCACGGCACCCGAACCGGGCACCGGGACACGGCATGGCACCGGAACCGGGCACCGGGACATCATTTGGCACCCTGAACCGGGCACCCCACGCCCGCAGCCCCGCTCAACCCCAAGCCCCCCGGGGCGCAGGGGGGATTTTGGGGTGCGGGATCCCCCCACTGCAGCACTTCCATGCGGGAACCCCCCGGGACCCCCGTCCGGAGCTGTGGGGTGGCCGCCGTGCCCCACAGGCGGCCCCGTGTGCGCCCACCCCCCCCAGTCCCCTCCCAGCACTTACTGGTCGTCGCCCACCTTCTTCACCCAGGCCATGTCCCGCTCCGACTGCTCCTGGGGACAGCAGAGCCCGCTCAGCCCGGGACCCCCGCCCCGGCCATGGGGAGGGGGTCCTGTGGGTCAGACCCGCCCCATTCCTGCTCCTGGACACTTCCCAGCACCCAAACCCCGCACCGGGCATGGGGAGGGGGTCCTGTGGGTCAGACCCTGCCCCGCTCCTTCTCCCAGACCCCCCTCAGCACCCAAACCTCACATACCAGCAATGAGGGGTCCTATGGGTCAGACCCTGCCCCGCTCCTGCTCCTGGACATTTCCCAGCACCCAAACCCCACACCGGGCATGGGGAGGGGGGTCCTAAGGGGTCAGACCCTGCCCCGTTCCAGCTCCCAGACCCCCCTCGACACCCAAACCCCACATACTGGGAATGAGGGGGTCCTGTGGGGTCAGACCTGCCCCACTCTTGCTCCCAGACATTCCCCAGTACCCAAACCCCACACACCCAGAATGAGGGGTCCTGTGAGGTCAGACCCTGCCCCATTTCTGCTCCCAGACACATCCCAGCAGGAAGGGGGGATGGGGGGAGTTGTGGGGTTAGACCTGCCCCGCTCCTGCTCCCAGGCCCCCTCTGCACCCAGACCTCACATATTGGGAATGAGGGGTCCTGTGGGGGCAGACCTGCCCCACTCGTGCTCCCAGACATTCCCCAGTACCCAACCCCCACACCCCCAGAATGAGGGGTCCTGTGGGGGCAGACCTGCCCCACTCGTGCTCCCAGACATTCCCCAGTACCCAACCCCCACACCCCCAGAATGAGGGGTCCTGTGGGGTCAGACCCTGCCCCGCTCCTGCTCCCAGGCCCCCTCTGCACCCAGACCCCACATATTGGGAATGAGGGGTCCTGTGGGGTCAGATCCTGCCCCGTTCCTGCTCCCAAACCCCCCTCTGCACCCAGACCCCACATATTGGGAATGAGGGGTCCTGTGGGGTCAGACCTGCCCCGTTCGTGCTCCCAGACACTTCCCAGCAGGAAGGGGGGATGGGGGGGTGTTGTGGGGTCAGACCCTGCCGCATTCCTGCTCCCAGACCCCCTCGGCACCCAGACCCCACATACTGGGAGTGAGGGGTCCTGTGGGGTCAGACCTGCCCCGTTCCTGCTCTCAGACCCCCCTCTGCACCCAGACCCCACATATTGGGAATGAGGGGTCCTGTGGGGTCAGACCCTGCCCAGCTCCTGCTCCCAGACCCCCCTCAGCACCCAGACCCCACACACCAGCAATGAGGGGTCCTGTGGGGTCAGACCCTGCCCCATTCCTTCTCCCAGACCCCCTCTGCACCCAGACCCCACATATTGGGAATGAGGGGTCCTGTGGGGTCAGACCTGCCCCGCTCCTGCTCCCAGACCCCCCTCGGCACCCAGACCCCCCCGGGCAGGCCGGGGGTGCTCCCCGGGCCCCGCACCTGCTCGCGGGTGTCCTGCAGGTGCTTGAGCTCGGCCTGCAGCCTCTCGCACTCGGCCTTGAGGTGCTCCTCGCGGTGCTGGGCGCGCTGGTTCTCCTGCCGCGCCGCCTCCAGCTCGGCCTCCAGCCCGCGGCTCGGCCAGCCCCCGGCGCGCTCCAGCACTGCGGGCACGGCACGGCTCGGCTCAGCGCGGCTCCGCCCGGGGGTCCCGGCGGGCGGGGGGCGCGGGGAGGGGGCGCTCACCGTGGCTCAGGCCGGGGTTGGGGTGCAGGGCGATGAAAGGCACGTCCTGGGTGCCCAGCCCGGGGAAGGCGCCGCCGTCGCGCTGCCGCAGCTGCTGCTCCAAGCTCCGGATGCGGCTCAGGTGCGTCTCCACCAGCGCCCGCTGCACCGGGAGGGGACGGAGGGGACGGGGCTGAGCCTCGGCCACGCTGCGACCCCTCCCCGGGGCTCATCCTGCGCCCCCAGCCCGGCACACGCGGATTTTGGGATCGCTTTTCGGGGTCTGGTGACCGTGGCGTGGCAGGGGGGGCTCCGCGGCTGGGAAAGGGGAGCCGGGGGTGCCCGGCTGGCACCGGGAGCCTTGGCAGGGGGGGAAGGGGGAAATGGATAAATCTGAGCATCCCTAAAACCCCAACGTGGCCACGGCCCCCCCAGCCCTGCGTCCCCAAGGATGGGGACACCACGGGCCTGTCATGGAGAGGGGACAGGGACCCTGCTGTCCCCTGCCGGTGGCTGCCACCCACCATCTCTCCCAGCTCGGTCTCCAGGTCCGCCTTCTCCACGCACAGCTTCTCGTAGGCCTGGATCATCTCCTCCAGCTGCTCCTCCCGCTCTTTGCTCTTCTGCAGCTGCCGGGGGAAGGTGGGGGGGGATTTGGGGGTGGATGGCTGGCTCGGGGACCCCCCCAAAGCCCCCCCCCAGACCCCCTGTCCCCGCTCACCTCGTGCTGGAACTGGTTGAGCTGCTGCTGCAGCGACGCCTTCTCGCTCTTGAGCAGCGAGTTCTCCTTGGCCTCGTAGAGGGAGAAGATGTGCTCCTCGCCGAACTCGCCGATCAGGGGGTACTGCGGGGAGGGGGGGCGGTCAGCGGGGTCCCCCCGGCCCCCCCCGGGCTCCCCCCGACCCCTCACCTTGACCTCGTACATCTTGAGGCGGCGCTTGAGCGTGGAGTTCTCCCTCTCGAGCCCCGTGAGCCGGTTCTTGATGTCGTCGTAGGCGGTGATGAGGGCGAAGTGCGAGGCCGAGCACATCTCGCCCGACAGGTCGGTGTTGGGGCTGTCCAGCCAGTCCTCGTCCGGCCCCAGCCCCTCCTGCGTCAGGATGCTGATGTCGTCCTCGAACATGGAGTCCATGTCCTGCCTGCGGGGACACGCCGGTGACACCGGGCCGGGGCGGCTCTGGGGACGCTGCGGTGACCCAGCCAGCCCAGGGGGTCAGGGAGGGGTCTGGGGGAGCTCAGCCCGTCCCAGCGGCACCGGGTGACAGTCCCAGGAGCTGCCACTCTGCTCCCGGGGGTGACAAGGGGACACTGGCCATGCCATGCCACGCCATCACCTCCGTCCCCACCGGGGAAAGAGGGGACAGAGGTCCCGACACCCCCCAGGCTCCTTCAGGACGAGGGTGGGAGCAGAGAGCACCCCGGCCAGAGCCCCCCGGGGGGGGGGACACGGTGACATTCCTGCCGTCCCCTCCGGGGAGCGAGCACCAGAAATAGCGGCCGGTGCCGCCGCTCCCGCCCCGCGCCGCACGGGAGCCGTGGGGGAGCTCAGCCCGTCCCAGCGGCACCGGGTGACAGTCCCAGGAGCTGCCACTCTGCTCCCGGGGGGGACAAGGGGACACTGGCCATGCCATGCCACGCCATCACCTCCGTCCCCACCGGGGAAAGAGGGGACAGAGGTCCCGACACCCCCCAGGCTCCTTCAGGACGAGGGTGGGAGCAGAGAGCAGCCCGGCCAGAGCCCCCCGGGGGGGGGACACGGTGACATTCCTGCCGTCCCCTCCGGGGAGCGAGCACCAGAAATAGCGGCCGGTGCCGCCGCTCCCGCCCCGCGCCGCACGGGAGCCGCTTCCCGGCCTCCCACGCCTCGCGCAGCCGTGCCCTAAATACCGGCGCTGCCGTCACCCCCCGGGAGCCACCTGGCTCCCGGCACTGTCCCCGAGCCCCCCCGGGGGACCCCACCCCGCCCGCCCCGCGCTGCCGCAGCGCTGACCCCGCGCCCGGGGCTCCGCCGTGCCCGGGGCTCCCGCAGCCGCCGCCTCCGCTGCTCCCGGGATGTTCCCCGGGGGGAAAAGCGCCTCGGGCCAGCGCAGCCCGCTCTGCCGCTGTCCCCTGTCCCCTGTCCCCTGTCCCCTGTCCCCTGTCCCGGGCGGGGACCCCCTGGGCACACACAGCCCTGGCAGACACCTGGCAGCCAGCGCCCAGCCCGCTGGGACACCCGGATCGCCGTGCCTCAGTTTCCCCAGCCCGCTGGGACACCCGGATCGCCGTGCCTCAGTTTCCCCAGCCCGCTGGGACACCCGGATCGCCGTGCCTCAGTTTCCCCAGCCGCTGGGACACCTGCCTTGCAGCGGGCCCCAGGCGCGGGGCGAGGCGGCGCGGGCTGGGCAGGGCTGCGGCGCGGGCACGGCACGGGCGTGTCACAGGCGTGTCACAGGCGTGTCACAGGCGTGTCACGGGGCTGGCACAGGCGTGTCTCAGGCGTGGCGGCTCCGGACATCGGCCGCGAGGGGATGGGCGGGAGCCGGAGCTGCTCTCATCCGCTTCCCGGCGGGGTCCCAGCGGCTCCGCCGCTCCCTCCGCGCTGCCCGGCCCGCCTGGAGGCCTGCAAGTGCCTGGGGAAAGCAGAAATGGGGCTTGGAATGAGCAAAAATGGGGTTCGGGATGAGGAAAAATGGGGTTTGGAAAAAAAGTAAAAATGGGGTTTGGGAAATGAGCAAAAATGGGGCTTGGAAAAAAAAATGGGGCTGTGGCTCCCCAGGACTGGGACACTGCTGGAGGCCCCGGCCGGCTCAGGGCTCCGGTGGGAATGGGGACGGGACTGGGAACGGGAACGGGAACGGGGATGGGAACGGGGATGGGGATGGGATGGGGTGGGATGGGATGGGATGGGGTGGGATGTGCCAGGCTGCGGGTGCTGCCGGGCGCTGGCACCTGGCTGGCTTAGGGACAGGGCTTGGCCCCCCCCGAAACCTTTTTGGGGTCGGGAGGATGCACTGGGTGGGACCCGGCCTAGGGCAGCCCCCCCTGCCCCGACCCTCGGCTGCGCGGCCGGGACGAGCCCCCTCCTCATTGCTGGGACCCCCGGGCGCTGTCCCGGTACTGGGGGGCG